TACATTTTGGTACATTTACATGATGCGATACTATGAAGCTGAAATCAGAGGACATATTGCACTGGGCAAATCTGCTGCAAAAGACCTCTTTAAGGTGCTGAAGAGCAAAGAAGTCTCTTTGAAGACTAAGGTGTGTCTAACCCAAGCCATGGTATTTTCAATCACCTCATATGCATGTGAAAGCTGGACAATGGGTAAGGAAGAACAAAGAAAAGTTGATGCTTTTGAGTTGTGGTGCTGGCAAAGAATACTGAAAGTACCATGGACTGAGAGACAAGAACTAACAAATCTGTCCTGGAAGAACTCCAGCTGGAATGCTCCTTGGAAGCAAGAATGGCCAGACTTCGTCTCACCTACTTTGGTCATGTTGTAAGACGGGATCATTCCCTGGAGAAGGATACCATGCTTGGTAAAGTGGAGGGTTAAGGAAAAAGGGGAAGGCCCTCAAGAAGATGGACTGACACAGTGGTGCAACAATGGGCTGAGGGATAGCAAGGATCATGAGGCTCGCACAGGACGGGGCAGTGTTTCATTCTGTTGTACACAGTGTAGCTGAGTCAGACCCAAGTCAATGGCACCTAGCAACAGAAACATGCAGCTGATAAAAAATGAGATAGATTCTATCTTTACTTCTCACAGAACTCTCTAAAACACAGCATTAAAAGAAAAAAAAGCAACTTGCAAAGCACTGCATGAACTACAATCCCATTTAGGTAAAATGAGAAGCAAAGACACATCTACACAGATGTAATACACATCTCTATTTTTGTACATGTACATACATATATATGGTGGCACAGTGGTTAAGCACTCAATTACTAACCTAAAGGTCAGTGGTTGGACCCCACCAGTAGCTCTGTGGGATAAAGATGTAGCAGTCAGCTTGCAAAAAGGTCAGCCTTGGAAAGCATATGGGGCAGTTCTACTCTATTCTATAGGGTCGTTTGAGTTGGAATCGACTCAATAACACATAACAACATGGAAATGTAAATAAGGCTCCTGGGTGACAGCAGCCATTTGGGCTCAACTAGTAATCTAAACATAGGTAGTCTGAACCCACCAGGATGCCATGGAATAAAGGCCTGGTGATCTGCTCCCATAGAGATTACAGTCAAGGAAACCCTATGGAGCAGTTCTACTCTGTCACACACAGGGTCTCCATGACTCAGAACTGACTTGATGCCAACAGGTTTGGATTGTTGTTTAAATACATATATCTAAGAGTCCCTGGGTAGTGCAAATTGTTATCGCACTTGGCTGCAACTCAAAGGTTGGCAGTTCAAACCCACCCAAAGACACAGAAGAAAGGCCTATTGATCTGCTTCTGAAAGGTCACAGGCATGAAAAGCCTCTGGAGCACAGGTCTACTCTGAAACATGCAGGCGCCCATGAGTCGGAATCAACGCGACAGATGCATAGAAAGGGAGCTAAAAGGATGAAGGGATGAAAGCATACCAAATGATGCAGCTTTGCCTCTGAGAGATAGGACAAGAACAGGGAAGAAGACGTGGTGCAAAAGATATTCCACTTTACACGCTTCTGTATTATTTGAATGTTGTAGAGTAAAAGTAGTCCTTAAGTGGGGGAGAGAATAAAGACTAACAGAAAAGAGACAGAATCAGAGATGAGCTGAGTGCTGGTCATCTTTATGTTGAATGCCAGTCAGAGGACTGACAAGTTCGAATGATGTCTTAGTAAATGTTCTATTAGTTTCATCAAAACCCTAAGATGGGCAGGTGGGAGAGGGAAAAGGGGAGTTACTGCTTCAGGGCCACTGAGTTTGTGTTAAGGGTGAGGGAAAATTTAGAAATGGATAGTAATGATGGCTCTACAACATGGAGGATGTAAATTATGTCATAAAATTGTACACGTAAAAAGTATTGAAATGACAAATGTTATATATATATATATATTTACCACAGTGATTTAAAAAAAAATTAAAACCTAAGATGGAGTCCTATTGAGATATTGCTAAGAAAGTAAATTGAATAGATTTGCTATAATTTACGTGATTAAATGAAAAACAAAATGCTGGAACTTTAGCATAACTTTAAATTATACATATATATATCATTTATTGAAATATAAAGATCTTCATTTACATGTTTTAAAATGAAAACATGAAAGGGGCATTTGTAATACATCTTGTACTGGCAGACCCTCCCAATCAGGTTACTCACACATTCACCACACCATTGTTTTGGGAATACTTAAGTATTTTTCTCTTTATTAATTTCTAAAATATAATTTTTGGACATTCAAAAGTGCAACAGTTAATGTGCCTGTGGGGAATATCACAGTTAAAAAAAATATAAACAAAGGCAGTGATACAGCTTGTCATAAATGTTCTGGCAGTATTCTCCAAGTCTACATAGAAATACATATATACATATTGATGTATAACATCATTTTATCTAACGTCCCTCTTCACAAAAATAGGACCATTTTGTACAGATTGGCAGACCACATTTTAAGGACATCACTGATCATTGAAAAACTCACAAGTTGTGTTTCTCAGGCCAGCTTTGATTGTCATCATAAAATAGAAAGCAAAACGATTGGCAAATTTTCTTCTGGGGACTTTTCAGGAGGTCAAAAAGGAAACATACCTGTGATACCCTGAAAACACTCTTCAAACATGTGGTCATAAACCCAGGTGGGAGGATTTGTTAGGTCTGGATGCTGTTGGTCTGAGAATTTTCCTCCAGTCTCAAGATGTCACACAAGACTCAAAGTTACATCAAAATGCAAAGCACCAACGAGAGAAGTCTATACTAATGAGAGTGAGTGATAAACAGAATGCTTGAGCTGTGGTTCTAGAAACACAAATGTATTTCAAGTCTAATTGGCTCTACAGAGTCTAGTCAGGTTTTCTTTAACTGGCCAATCGGGCTCAGTCTTCACACTTACTATGAAAAAAGGTGGATAAGAAAGTTGGGGCTTGCATTCAGATTACACCAGTAGGTATTCAAGTACCTTGTTATTGCTTCTACATATTCCAAAGCATCACCTGCCAGTAGCACAAACAGTGATTGCAGTAATCACAGCCCATGTTTCATTTATAGGGTGTCAGCAATTAAGTGGGATTGCAAAGAATGCCAACGAATCCACACCAACTAGTTCAAGAGTCTGGGTCAATTTGACTATTCATCCTCCCATCTAACTTCAAAAAAAAGTCCAGAAGTCATCCTTCCCATCTAACTTCAAAAAAAAACAGTAAAACTTTTGAATTTTTTCCACCAAAACATTAATCTGGTTATACAGAGATTTGGCACACCAAATTGCATCATTTTTGAACATGCATTTTCTGGAAATTTAAAAAAAAAAAAAAAAAACCTTAGTACCCCTATGCAGCAGAAAGCAATGTCTTTACTTTTGGAAGACCTGTCAAACCAAGATTTAGCTTCCTCAGTCTCAGCTAAAACTGGAAAACTAAATTAAGGGTAGCAATTGCTAGCTATATGGCATCAAAAGTGACTGACTTAAAGCCAAAGACTTAAATAATAGGCTTCCAGTATGGTTGACTTCTAGCCCAGCTCCACATTTCAAATTCGTTTCTTTTTATTTTTTTCCCCATGGCAACTTCCTGTAACTTAAACTGGTGTTACCCAAACCTGGCTGCTTAGGCCAGCCAAGTTGCTTATAAACATACAGGTTCCTGCTCCCTGCAGACCTATTAAATCTGAATGTCTGCAATGGGAACCCAGAATCAAGTTGATTCTGATTGTCAGTCACGAAACAATGCCTTCATGGTCTCAGAGTTTCAAGCTACTTCTCTTTGAGGTAAGAAATGAGGAAATGAGGTTGATGTTCACAGCATCCTTCTGCTCTTTTCAGGGTTTGTAGAATCAAAAAATATATATATTTGTTGGGATCCACCAAAGTTACCACCAGGCATTAAAAAAAAAACTCTGCAAATTCAGTCTTTTTGCTGACGATTATGTTTTCCATTGGGCAATAACACAAAAAGTCTTCGGCATGGGCTTATGCCTTTATACTGAGAACTATTAGGGTTTTTTTGTTTTTTTAATTCCATTACTTCTGAGGGTAGTTAATTGTTTTTAGTACAGTTGATTAGGGTACCTATTTGTACACAAGTAAAAATTTTGACTTCCTGGAAGACACTACTTTTACTTTGTTCTCTATGTTCAACTAAATTTTAATCCACTAAAGCTATTACCATATCTTATAGAGAAACATATGTTACTTAATATAAATGCCAAAAAACTGCCAAACTTGTCACCTACTTAGTAAGAATTTTTTTTTTTTTTTAATTGTGCTTCTCAGTAGGGAAAACATGTTACCTATTACACATTTAGCATTACTGATAACAGTAGTATTATTATAAACCTAGATTATATAATATGAAAATGAGTTGTTGGGCTTCTAAATGACCCAAATCTATTAAAGACGGTTGGTTAATTATTAGCCTTTATCTCTTTAACACTAAAAAAAAAAAAGTAAAATGCTATAGTACCAGTACCTTTTAGGTTTAAAAGTGGTTTTGCATGTACTTCACAGGAGAGTTCAACAGTAGCTGACACCAGGTTTCAAGAGAGAAGTACATGAATGGATTGAGTGGTCTCTTCAGAAGTCCAGAGAAGATAGTTAATAAAAATCTAAAACCCATCGTTGGTTAGAGTTATTTACATAATTACAATGCTGGAGTTTTGTCGCAGTAAAAATTGTGTACGTTGAAATCTCACCAATGCCCTTGAAACACAAAGATTGTCTTCCGTGGCCTATTTATCCCCTTGTCCCTCTATCTCCAAACTGCACACACCACTGAGATGCTACTGACTCGCTGCATGAGGCAACTCTGGAAAAGTTCAATATATCCCATTCAGTCATAATTAGAAGGCTCCCTGAGGCCCTTGGCTGGGAACTTCTCTTTACAAATCACCCAAGTCCTCCTCTCAACTTTTGCATTGCAATAAAGTGGTTTTCTTAAGGTACCAAAAGTGGCACCTGGAGTGGAAGATGCCTTCTGAATCCATCCGTTACAGGAAGCTGTCCTCCACCAGATCTGAGGAGTCTATGCCAATGTCGTCCATCATGTCGATGTCCTCAATGGTCTCATCCTCTCTCTTGATGAAGGTCGAACTACTGGAACCTGTCTCAATGGCACTCTCTTCAGAGGTCTGTGAGCTGGAGGAGAGAGAAAAGGAGAAAGGTTAATGAAGGTCTACGTACAGATCACCTAAGCTGTGATTACATTTCTAGGATTTACCACCAATGGTAAGTTCTGCCTGCAAGATCCTTTGGCATTCAAGTTCAGGCCTGCCCAGTCTGGCAAGATTCTGTCATCAAGCCAGAGAGCTATTCATCACCCATGACACTATAATTGGTGACATGAAAAATCAAGGTCCACAGGTAATCTTTAAATTTGCTTTGGCCCTTCAGCTTTCCTTCTCTTCTGCCAAGTTTTTAGCAGAAGTTGCTAACATGCTGCAGCAATTTCTATTGTCCCTATTGAAGTGCAGTGAATTACTTAATATAGTCCTTCTAGCCATAGTTGTTGCAAATCCCATCAAATGACTAGATGAGACTATGCAAATGAGGTGTTTATGGCCTACCAACAGGATTGGATAGCTTGCTAATAATGTAAATAAGGTACATGGTACCCTTGTGGCTATGGGGCCATGCAAATAAGGTATATGGAACCCTAATGAGGTGATTAGGAGCTCTGGTAGCATAGTGCCTAAAGCACTTGACTGCTAACCAGAAGGCTGGTGGTTCAAACCCATCAGCCACTCCTCGGAAGGAAGGTTGAGCAATCTACTTCTGTAGAGATACCACCTCGGAAACCCAAGGAGGGGTCGCTATGAGTCTGGTCCAACTCGACGGCACATAACAATGATGGGATTGGTCAGTTTTGCCATTCCAGTAGGCTTAAAATGAGCCATCTAACAGGCAGAAGGGGAGGGGAGCATCTCACTACCACCAAGTATCCCTGTGTTGAGAACCTTCCAGATCTAGGAAACAGAGACAGAGCAAGAGCTGTAACAGCAAAGATGATAGATGGCGAGACGCACTGACAGTGAAACAGCAGCAGCAGAGGCAACAAATTCAGGACACCCGCAGCAGCCAGGGCAGTCGGCTTCCAGCCCATGGTGCAAGAAGAAAGCCTTTGCACAGGAGGCTTTTTGGCAGAGTAAGATGCCTCTGAGGACTTGGTGGAGGCTAAGCTTACTGGCCCATGACCCATGGAGCAAGAGAACTGAGCTCCTTCAGTCCAAGGCTCATTGGAAAACTAGGATGGCTCTGGGTACTCACTGGCAGAACTAAAAGAGCTTTTTAACACTTCCCTGAGCAGGGCAGGGGCCAGGCCAAGGGGCCAAGTGACTGAGAGCTAGAGAGAGGCCTTTCTGCAGGTATGGCTGAGAAGAGTCTGTCCTGATTGAATTGTTCTGGTTACTTCTAAGTTGATCTCGACCCCAATTGTAACCTGTTACTTCCCCAAAATCATAAGCATTGTCTTATCAGTTGTGTCTGGGCATTTCAGCAAATTATTTATCCCAGCAGAGAAGTAGAGCATGCCAGGGGAGGGATGGCTGGTATCAGAATTGGTGGTTTAAAAAAAAAAAAGTTGGAGGGTGGAGGCATGTCTGGCCTCCGCCTCATAGGAATCAGCCTTGGGCTGTTGATCTTGAGCCTCCAACCCCCTTGAGAAGTTTAGAGGAGGTCAGACACCATTCCCATGCCATTCTTACACCCACTCACTCCTAGAATAGGGAATGCATGATCAAAAGGCAATGAGGAAGGAAAATCAAAGGGATTAAATCATCTGCAAGTTGCAGCCAGGCTAGTCACTTACTTCTTCTGAAACCTCTTGAGTATCTTTACTGTGTTCTAGGATTTCATCTCACTTTCCTGGATAACCTTTTCCCATTCTCCGCTCTACCCAATGCCTCCTGAGTCTTGAACGTCCAGGGGAAGGCTTTTTACTTAATAGTACTGTTTAAGAGGGGGAATTCTAGAATCAAATGACCTAGGTCTGGAATGGCTCCACTACTAGCTGAGTAATGTTCCACAAGTTATCAAACCCCCTGAACCTGTTTCCTCGCCTGTAAAATAGAATAACAATAGTACCTGATGCAGAGGACTCTTAAGGGAATTAAATAAGGTCATGTCAATAAAGCACTGAGCACAATGCCTAGAACATAATAACCAACCAAACCAAAACCAAACTCACTGACATTGGGTAGATTCCAACTCATAGTTACCCACATTGGGTTTCCAAGGCTGTAAATCTCTATGGAAGCAGATTGCCTCATCTTTCTTCCACAGAGGGACTGGTGGGTGTGAACCACTGACCTTTTGGTTAATAGTCAAATGCCTTACCCACTATGCCACCAGAGCTCCTTAATAACCAACCAGTTGCCATCAAGTCCACTCTGACTCATGACCCCGTGTGTGTCAGAGTCGAACTATGTCCCAGAGGGTTTTCAATGGCTGCTTTTCAGAAACAGGACACCAGGACTCTCTTCCTAGGCTCCTCTGGTTAGCAGCACATCATGTTAACTATTTGCACCACCCAAGGACTTCAGAACTTAAATATTCAATAAAAAGTAGCTTTTTATCTACTATTATCATTCAAGCTCTTACCTGAATTTGAATAAGGGCCTGAATAACACCAATTGCTAATTTCCTTACATGTGATAATGATATTGTGCTTATGTAGGAGACTGTCTTTATTCTTAGGAGATGACTGCTCAAGTATCAGAGGTGAAGTGTCTTGGTATTTTCAACTTAGTTTCAAATGGTTCAGGAAAGAAAAGAAGGAGGGATATGTATGTGTGTGATACATTCAACACATATTACACACATAGAGCTACATAAAGCAAATGTGGCAAAATGTTAACAACTATTAAATCTAGGTAGCAGATGACTATATAGGTGTTCATTATATTATTCTCTCAATTTTTCTATACATTTAAAATTTTTCATAAAAATATAATATTCCCTAAAGTCTCCAGCCTGCCAGGATTCCCCATCTTTCTTCCCTTCTCTGAATTCATAATTCTCATTATCTTATCATTATCCTGCCTTGTACTGCTATCTAAATTTTTATGTGTATCCTTTCACTCCAAACAGATTATCATTGGCTGGTTTAGTCTCCTACTTGTGTACCATGCTACACAAATAGCATGTTAACAGTAAATACTGGTTGGCCAGCCAGAGGAATTAGTCACTCATACACACACACACACACACACACACACACACACACACCCCAAGCAGGGGTTCTTCCTGCTTGTCAGAACCAACCTCCATATTAGTTCATGGAGAACAACAACAAAAAGTTGTCATGGAATCAACTCTGACTCATGGGACTCCAGCAGAGAACTGAGGCTGGCCAATTAGAAGTCCTCTCCATGTTCCCTCAGACCTGGAGAGCTCCTAGAACCTATGGAGCTACTGAGTAGTGGTGTCCTTTCACAGTCCCACAGATTGGGCCCTTCCCCGTAATTGAACTTTTGGCCTGGTTCCTAATTTGTATTCTACCTATCCACCCCCTCCCTACCCTCCACCTGTCCCCAACCCCACGAGAGACATGTTAGAATCATGTGGAAACATTTTCAAACTAAAGGGACCCCTTACGGATTCTGTAACTCCCTCCCCAGTACAGATTCCCTACCAGGCAGAGCATAGTATCAGTGGGTGCTTCCTTCAGGTTAAGAAACATTACTAGAAGCTGTGGCTGCCACTCATGTCTACCTGTGTCTGTTCCTCTTGCCCAGGTCTTCATCCTCAGGAACAGGGTCAATGTCAGGCAGAGGGATGATGTAGCCACTGTCTGCACTCAGTCTCTGCTCATCGAGGCCACCCTCCCAGTCCTTCAGCTTGTCTTCCTCATTTTTGTAGGTGATGCCGATGTATGCGTTATCAGAGTCCACACGCATGCGTGCCACCGCAGGATGGTCACTCTTCAGAAAGTCCAGGTGAATTTTCTCATAACTCTATGTAAATATTCATTCAACACATGCAATCAAGTGGTATTGACCAGACAGCAAAACTGAGTACAGATGCTCAGAACTTACTATTATTTAACTATATGTTTCTCCAAACTACCTCACAGGTGTGGGATTTAGACAACTGAAGAAGAGTCATGTGTCAACCATCCCCAGAGATGTAGGACATGCAGATAAAGAGCAACCAACAGCAGAGGTCTCCTGATGATCAAGCTTAAGATAACAAGAGCCCAGGGGCAGAGTACCCATTGAGCAAAGTAAGCACAGGCTTACTTGTGCTTACTTACTAATCTGTAGTGAACATCTTTGATAGGGTGAAAAACATACTGTTCACTACAAATTAGTGGGTACAAGTTAGTGATGTGGTGAACCCAAGTGCAATTGTTCACTACAGATTAGAAAGTGATCACAAGTAAGCCTGTGCTTACCTTGCTTATTGGTTAATCTGCCCTTGCAAAAGCCCCTCCTCCAAGTCAGTAGCTGCAACCATGCTCTCAGCTCTTCCCTGGGACTAGCGTGGATTCTGCTGGCCCCTATCACATTGTTCCTCTAGGGCTTTAAAGAATCCCAATAAGAAGTGATGAAGACTTCCATTGGGCAGTCTTCCTAATCTCCAAATGTTGGGAAAATCTAACTCAAAACTTAGGAACCTGTGAAGAAGCCCATGTGGCATAATGGTTAAGCACTTGGCTGCTAACCAAAAGGCTGGTGGTTCAACCCACCCAGTGCCTCTGTGAGAGAAAGACCTGGCAATCTATTTCTGTAAAGATTATAGCTTAAAAAAAAAAAAAAACCTATGGCCAGTTCTACTCTGCCACATGGGTTCCCTATGAGTCCACAGTACCTAACAACAAGCCAGCTAACAATGCAGAACTGACCCTGAGCAAAAAAATGTCTGCTAAATAAATGAGGGGTTTTTTTTAAAGAAGGAAAAAAAAAAAAAAAAAAAAAAAACCTTAAGGACCCTTGATCTAAAGAGGCTCTACTTTCAAAAATAGTTGCAATCTCTTCCCAACAACACACCTTTACCAATCAGAGCATCTTTGACTGACCCAAGGTTAATTTTCTTTTGCCTTCTAGACTGCCTCACTTATGGGAGCTGTACTGGACAGTGAAATAATCAATGGACAGAATTATTTAATTTCTAGTCCAGTGTGCAACCTCCTAATGCTGCTCCTCCTCCTTGAACAGCAAGAAGAGAAGCAATGAGTATGAAAAGTTTGCTGTTACTGTCATTGCGTGCTGTCATGCCGATTCCAACTCACAGTGACCCAACAGGACAGAGCAAAACTGATCCATAGGGTTTTCTAGGCTGTACAGATTGCACAGAACCAGGAAATGTTTTGTTCTGTTGTACATATGGTCGCTATGAGTTGGAAGCAGCTCAATGGCACTTAACAACTTGACAGGTGCAGACCCCATAGAGCTGCTCATGGGTTCACACTGCCGACCCCTGGTCAACAGTGAACTCATAACCATTGAGCCACCAGGGCCCCTTATGAACAGTGTACCTAGTGACTAATCTGACTATAAAACATTGAGCTACATATACAAGTTTCCTTCTTGATACCCTGGCAGAAAGTTGGCTCATCTGTTTACATATAGTGCTTGGGTCCACGAAATTACAATTATTCATTGGGACAGTGCTTCCAATGCAACCAAAAACCAGCTGGAGCCACAGACAACAGTTGAGGTTGTTCCTTCGAATCAGCTGGAAAAAGCCAGTTTTGCAGGGACTTAATTGCAAATTAGTAATTAAATGGCCATTGATGTCCCAGACTTCTAACTGCACAATAGCTTCAGATACTCAAACATCTGGAGAATAAAGTGTTTACAGGTGTTGCACACTTAAGAAAGAGGATGAAAGGAGAACTGGAAGGGAGAATTGTGATTAATCACTGAGATCAAGGGTCCATGGGACACTCCATCTTTTTCCTTCTTTGAAAATGTTTCCTTAGTGTTGAACACTGCTCCTTGGCATTTAAAAAAATGCCTATCCACCCCCTCCCTACCCTCCACTCCTTGGCATTTAAAAAAAAATGGAAAAAAAAAAAACACCAGTTGCTGTGGAGCCAGTTCCGACTCTTGATGACTCCTGTGTGCAGAGTAGGACTGCTTCAGTGTTCTCATGGTGACCCCTGTGTGCAGAGCGGGATTGCTTCACAGTGTTCTCATGGTTGGGACCTTCTGGAAGCAGATTGCCACACCTTTCTTCTGAGGACCCTCTAAGTGGGTTCAAACCACCAATTGCCTTTCAGTGGCCTAGTACTTAACCGTTTGCACCACACCAGGACTCTGCTCCTTGGCATAACTGCTAGCTATTCCATTCTTCCTTTGCCCATTCCTTTCCACCCATCTCAAAAACCCAGACAAACCTTTTTGTATTGTCCAGGCAAAAGATTCTCCACAATTTCACTTAGGTGGTAGAAGGAGGGTCTCTTCTCTGGCTCACTGTTCCAGCACTTCACCATGATCTCGTACCTGGAGAGGCACAGAACTCAGAGAGGGCCCAGAGAGGAGTATCAGGGAGCCCTTTCCCCATGGATATCCCACACCAGACATGCATGGCAAGGCCAACAGGATAGGGAGGGGAGCTCACACTTCACTGGTGGCATGGTCAGGCTTAGCCATCCGGTACCCACTCTTGATCTTATTGTAAAAAGTCGAATCCACCATCATGCCAGGGTAAGGTGTGCCACCTAAAAGCCAAAGAATAAAACAACTAGTATTAACAAACATGTGCAAGATACATTGTTGAAACACTTGGGGTGTTATTACTTTTAGAAAATGCTGGGGATTCTAAAGCCTTGAAACTAGTAACAAGTGCCTAAGGCATTTGACAGCTAACCAGAAGGTTGGCAGTTCAAACCCACCAGCCACTCCATGGAGGAAGCTTCCGTAAAGATTTGTTGTTGTTGTTGTTGTTGTTATGTGCCGTCAAGTCGGCCCCGACTCATAGCGACCCCTCCTTGGGTTTCTGAGGCAGTATCACTACAGAATTACCACCCCAGAAACCCGAATGTGAAACGCCATGAGTCAAAATCGACTTGGTGGCACTGGGTTTAGTTTTTGGTTTACCCCTTGACTTCCCAGGCCTGCTCAAATTTTAAATTGAACTAGGACTTCTAGGGTGGCCAAAGTCAAACACACTAGGTATAAATCCTGTATCTTCAGAAAAAATGCTCAAGGGTTTCCAATGTTTGTGACTACTACAACAAACAAACAAACAAAACCTGTTGTTGATTCTGACTTGTGGCAGCCCCATGTGTTACACAGTAGAACAGCTCCATAGGGTTTGCTTGGCTGTAATCTTCAGGGAAACATCACCAGGTCTTTCTTCCACGGTGCCACTGAGAGGGTTTGAACCTCCAACCTTTACATTAATCATTGAGTGCAAACCATTTGAACCACCCAGGGACCCTTCTAACTACTGGGGAAAAAAATAAAACCAAACTCACTGCCATCAAGTTGATTCTGACTCACAGTGACCCCTTTTGGGTTTCTGAGAAGGTAAATCTTTACGGAAGTAGATTGCCCAGTCTTCCTTCCACAGAGTGGCTGGTGGGTTTGAACCACCAACCTTCTAGTTGACAACAGTCATTACAAAATAGCAGTTGCTGTCAAGTTGATTCAAAACAGTTCAAGTAGAACTGTGCACCATAGGGTTTTCAATGGCTAGTTTTTTTTTTTTTTCAAAAGTAGATCACCAGGCCTTTCTTCCGCAGTGCTTCTGGGTAGACTAGAATCTCAACCCTTTCAAGTTAGTAGCCAAGCATGTTAACCATTTGCACTCCCCAGGAACTCCACTGTGGCTCCAGAATCTCCCAAAACCAGCACAGATGGCAGGCCCGTACCAAGGGAGAAGATCTCCCAGAGCAGAATGCCGTAAGACCAGACATCACTCAGGGTGGTGTAGAGGTTGTCGAAGATGCTCTCAGGAGCCATCCACTTCACCGGGAGAAAGGTCTGCAGGGAAGAAAGTAGGAAACTGAACTCAGACTGTACGCTGATGGTCTCCAACAGCAGCAATGGCAAGATGTTCTCTCTGAGCTAATAACAACTCATATCAACAGTCTTGCCCCACATTAGAGTCTCTGTTGTATGTTTTCTGCACTGCTGTCCTCTAGTATGTAGAAGCATATCTGATACCTAGTGGGTGTTCAATAACTATCTGATGAGTGGTGAATGGCCAATGTTGTCTTTTATGTGCCCCAAAAAAATAATGTCAAAAATATTTAATCCTGGATTTTGCCCCAAAAGTGAGTCCTGAATGCAACTATGCCCTGTTTTCAGGTGTTCCCACAGAAAAAAATTAAAAACATACCAATGATCTATGAGCCAATCACAGCTTTTGAACTTTAAGAAATAAATAGTAATTTTCCACCAGAACAAAGAATCATGGATGAGAATAAATTTTTCCAGCCTCTATTGTGAGGCTGGCCTAACCTTCAGAGGAAATACTAGCCTGAGGCAGATATATAAAGAAGCCACATCCTTAAGCCCGCTAGGGTTGCCTGGGAAGATAATGGAGACCTATAACCCTAGTTGAGCAGAGGAGGAAACTGACTCCACCAAAGTCCAATGGTTTGTTTGAAAGGCCTAAAGTTGGATAGGAAGAGCCCTTGGCTCCATGAGAAACTCACAGAGCCTGGGCTCAGGCTGGTGTCCCTCTCTAGAAGATACAGCAACCTCGGTGGGCTCTCTCACAACCAGTGCAGCTGGGTGATTCTGAATTGTACATACAGGTGGCAGATGTATCCCAAGCTACTTACATCTGCTTAGAGATAGAAGGGCCGAGGAGAAGGTCCAAGTATAATACAGAATGCTTATCTTTAAGGAAATTGTGCCCCTATGAAATATTCACTTTTGAAAATCTGAAAAATAAAAGCTAGTGCAGGACTTCAAACAGGTTCATTCAAAACACCTGGGGATGCTGTTAGATTCTGATTCAGCATAACTGGGATGGAAATGCAAATTCTCAGCAGGGGTGAACCCAACAGAATCAACCAGTTCAAAGCCCTGCTAGACACTCCCCTTGGAAGTGCATGCATGTGCATGCACACATGTTATATATTAAATGCTAACACTGACTGGGTGCTTGCAGGTGCCAGGCACCATCCTAAACTCATGACATGAATTCACTGATTTAATTGCCAAGTAACTCAGGAGATAAGTTAGCACTTGACTGCTAACCAGAAGGCTGGCAGTTCAAACTCACCAGCCACTCCTCGGAAGGAAGATGAGGTGATCTACTCCCATAGTGATACTGCCTCAGAAAGCTAAGGAGGGGTCGCTATGAGTCAGGTCCGCCTTGACGGCCCTTAACAACAACAACAGCACTTTCATCCTACGGACAGGGAAACTGGGGCACAGCACGGTGAAGTAATTTGCCCCAAATCCCAGTGCTAATTAGTGGCAGAGCTGGTATTCCCACTGGCAGAGCCTGTACTTTCCCTATGGAGTCCCTGGAGCCCATTCCTAACTCTCATGGATTCCATGTTAAGAACATGTGTTAGAAGCTACCCCCTGATTTCAGACATTCCAATGAGGGTGAGTGAGCATGTAAAATGAGGGAGGGAGAACATACACTGCCTTTTGACACGTAGTTAGAATCATGCATTATATCCCTGGCTAGGCCGAAGTCGCAGATCTTCACAATTTTCCCTTGAGCCAGAAGGACATTGCGGGCAGCCAGGTCTCGGTGAACACACTGCAGAGAACGGGAAGAAAAGGCTTCAGGTCAATCCATCTGCAGGTAGACAGCACGACCCCTGAAAGACTGGCCTCTTCATGGTGACACTGGGAGGGTACAACACCTCAGACAGGCTGCTACCACTCCCCACCAGGGCTCTCAGCCCAACCAATCCCCAAGTGCGGAAGCCCTAGAAAGAGAAGACTTCGAGTGATAGGGAACTCCCTCCCTGCTTAGGGGAAGAAAAAGGAAGTAGGGAAATGAGAAGCAACCATTGCTACTCCAAAACCAAAAAAACTCACTGCCGTTAAGTCGATTCAACTCATAGTGACCCCTCCTTGGGTTTCTAAGGCAGTATCACGATGAAAGTAGATTGCCCCATCTTCCTTCCAAGGAGTGGCTGGTGGGTCTGAACCACCAATCTTTTGGTTAGCAATCAAATGCCTGAGGCACTATGCCACCAGAGCCATTGCTACTAGCCTCTCTAAAATCTACCTACCCTCTCCTTCCACACTAGCTCACCCTGCAATGTGGCCTGAGTCTACAGAGGTCTCTGTTCTTTGAACACACAATCTGGAGGAAAAAAAAAACTCACATTTTTTGAAGCCAAAAACTCCATTCCTCGAGCAACTTGATAGGTGAAGCTCAACAAATCCAACAAAGTAAGGCCTTCTGAGTTATCATCCGAAAGGAGATTTTTGACTTCTGAGTCTGTGGAAAAGTAATTAAGTGTGTTGGGCAGAATATGAAACCATCAGTGACACTCCCTCTGGACTAGGCAGCTGTCTGCCCAAGCCTGGGCAGAGAAATGTCCAAAGAACACATCCAAAATTACTTTCTTATTTAGAGTTTCTCAATCTCACAGGGTGGGTAGTTAAACTATGCAAAGCCTCTTTCATTAAAAAAAAAAAAAGAAGAATTATTCTTTACAGAAAAATATACCCAGTCCTGGAAAAAAAAAAAAAAAAAAACAGTTTGGGTAGTACAAATGGTTAAGCACTTGACTACTAACCAGAAGGCTGGCACTTCAAATTCATCCAGAGGCACATCAGAAGAAAGGCCTGGCAATCTATTCTATTTCTAAAAGGTCACAGCCTTGAAAACCCCATGGAGCAGAGTTCTACTCTGCACACATGTAGTCGCCATGAGTCAGAATTGACCTGACAGTAGCTGATTTGGTTTTGATTTGCACGTGTGTGTGTCTAATCATAGCCATAAGGGCCAATCGAAATCTATCTTTCTGATGGGTTTTTTTTTGTTTTTTTTCCTCTCAATTTCTTTTGTCAACCTTATTTAGCAAATCACCTGAGTCATCTTTACACAAACATACACACACACACCTTCCATGTTGAATATACATTAGCTCCTTCTGGACAAGTAGCTTCCAGAAATTGTTTTTTCATTTTTTTATTTTTTAAGCCACCTTCCAAGTACTTGGCTTATTTCGTGAAAAAAATCAAACACTAGCCAGAAGAGTTAACTCTTAAAAATCAGTCCCAACGGCTTTGCGTTCAGTTCACTTTGTCTGTAATTTGTCCACGTTCCCCAGTTATCCTATCTGGAAGGGTCCCAGAGTTTTCGAGGAAGGAGACAATGTAGGCCAGCAGTTCCCAGTTCTTTCTGAAAGTTTTCAGGCAAGTGAAGAGTGGCTCCAGCCATTCACATTTTTCCAGCCAGCCACGCGAAGGCCAGAAAACAGTGGTCTGTCTGCCAGCAGGGCCCGGGCCTGAGCATGACTCAGGCTTCCTTGCCATCTGGAGCCAAGTCCACCAGTGTAGCCTGGGAAGCAATGTAAACTATTTTTAACAATATGGGAGGGAGAGGAAGCACTGGTTCCGATAACTCTCATTGGCTAAGCTTTAAAAAGCGTTTGGATGCTCACCCATTTGGCAATGGGGAGTGAATGAACTTGGAACCACAGAAATGGAAAATATTATTGTGTACTAAGCTTTGCAAAACAAGCACATTCTTTTTTTTTTTTTTTTTAATGGATCATGCCTGTCACTTAGGAACCCTGAAAGCATTCAGAGCACGTTAGTGATTTGCAAAACAATTTCCATAGCAGCTCACCACTTTGCACTGACTAGAGCCAGTAAGGCAAGATGACAGGGCAGGCCAGTGTCAGATACAGGGTGCTCCATCTGGAATGGGTATCAGCTCCCCAGAGTTTATAAATCAATTCAACCCCACTACATGCTCATCTGCTTTGAAAACAGATGACCTCCTTCCAACAACGTTCAACTGAAACACCCACCACCCCTGTCAGAAAACGTAACCTCAAATTGTCTACTCTCCAGTTTTTATCACTAGCTGGATGTTAGGAAAAGGAGTTCTGGTGGTGTAGTGGTTAAGGCATATGGCTGTGAATCACAACATCAGTGGTTCAAACCCAACAGCCGCTCCATGGAAGAAAGATAAGGCAGTCTGCTTCTGTAAAAATTTACAGCCTTGGAAACCCAATAGGAGTCGCTAAGAGTTGGAATTGAATTGATGGCAATGAGTTTGGAGTTTCTGAGTCTGGATGTTAGGAAAACTTTTTAGCCAATATTCAGTATTTATTGAACTCACAGATTTTATAGACTTACTGCAAAGTATTAGGAACCACCATAAGATTTCCAATTTTTAATTTTTCCAAATAAGGCCATTAACAAAAGAAATATCACCATGCTTTCATTTTTGTTTTTAAAGGGTATGTTTGAAACCATCCCCTCAAATCACCTTTAAACGAAGTTACAATTTAGCTAAAAGAGTAAAGAATACCCTTGAGTATTGCTTTCTTTTAAAAAAATGATCTATATAAGACTAGTAATCAACAGTTATTTCAAAGCCTAGATGAGAAGGTTGAGATGGGGCAGGGAGTTTGGGTTAATAGGAGTGAAACAACTAGAACATAAATAATGAGAATGTTTATACAATGTGAAGAAAGGAACAACCCAGCATTATGTCTAGAACCTGTGAAATGGGAGCAAGTTTTGCTGTGCATATTCGCACCTAAAATAAAATAAAACATATGTATTTTTTTAAAAAAAGGGCATGTTGACACTAAAAAGGTCATTACATCAGAAAGGACAATTCTTTAAATCAATTACATTTAAAGTTCAAAAACTTCATTACATAAGTGCGCCTTTATTTGTTCTCTTCAATTCATAGGCCACAGACCTGGGAGAAACGTCACACACCAGCAATGGTGTGCCTATAACCCTGCGCACCCTTCAGCACTTGCATTAGCAACCAGGTGGCCTGGGAGATCTATTTACCCCCATTCCTACCTCTGAGCCACGTGAAGTCTCACATTAAACCACTGGAAGATCACAATACCCAATGAGTAAGTATAGACAGCTTTACCTAACATAGATTTCTTCTTATATGAGGCTGGGCGATCATATAAAGACCTTTGGATGTCTGAATATTTAGACACCTCTTTCCTCTCCAGCATAGGGACATACTGTGTGGTATCAGCTTGTTTCATGTCCATGTAGTCGCCATTGTTTTCAAAAGATAAAATAACGTAACTGTAAAAACATAAAAAGAAATCTTAGACAGGGTTTCCCTCTGGTGCAGTCACTGAACATTCAATAAATGATGGTTAAAGAAACAAAAACCAGGCAACTATTAGTCTCTCCTCAGCCAGAGCAAAGAAGGGTAAAGAAAATCAAAGACACATGGAAAGGGTGTAATGGACCATGGCTTTATGGACCATGAGAACCTTAGCTTACATGACCCAGAGACCAGAAGAACTAGATGGTGCCTGGCTAACTGCTGCCAATGCCAACTACTCAGAAAGAGATCAAAATTGGAGATCCTGTATTGAGTGAGAGAAGAATGTAGGACAAAACTCAAAATCATAAAAAAGACCAGGCTTACTGGTCTGACACAGACTGGTGAAATTTCTAAGACTATAACCCTTCAGGCCTGGGATTGACCTCATTCCCATGGCTTAATAAAAAAAAAACAACCCACTGTCATTGAGTTGTTTCCAACTCATGGCGACCACCTGTGTTACAGAGTAGAACTGCTCCATAGGTTTTTCTTGGTTGTCGTCTTTATGTAATCTTTATAGGGTCACTGGAAGTCATAATTGACTCAATGGCAGGAGGTTTTTTGGGTTTTTTGAATCTTTATGGGAATAGAATGCCAAGCATTTCTCTTGTAGTACACTGGATGGGCTCGAATTGCCAACCTTTAGGTTAATAGGTGAGCATGAACTGAGCCACCCAGGGACCTCAGATGATGACTAAGTGCCTAGGATGTGCCAGGCAGTGTGTGGTAGGCACTGGGGTTATGGAGATGAGCAAAACCAAAACCAATCTGTTCCCTTCCTGTGGGAAGATGAGCATGAATCAAATAATCACAGAAAGACGTGAATGATCTCAAACTCAGGTAAGCTCTGAAGGAAGAAGGTTATGATAGAACATGAGGAAAATAATCTGGGGAGAAGAAGAGGGACCAGTAAACATTTTCCTAAGGACAAAGAAAGAATGAATCACCTTTATAAAGATAGGAATGACTAGAGGAATATTTGGCATGGTACTTGGCACATATAAAGGGCCCAACAAGTGTTAGCTGCCATAATTATTATTGCTTATTTACTTATTTATTTACTTATCTATTAATTCATTTGTTTCCAGTGTCAGTCCCAACACATTATCTACAAGAACCTAGACATCCTGAATAGCTACACCTAAGACTATGGGCTATGTGCCCATAAAACCCATTGCTGTCAAGTCAATTCTGGCTCATGGTGATCCTGTATGACAGAATAGAACTGCCCCATAGGATTTCCAAGGGTATAAATCTTTCAGAGACAGACTGCACATCTCTTTCCTGTGGAGCAGCTGGTGGGTTCAAACCACCAACATGCTGGTTAGCAGCTGAATGTTTAATGACTGTGTCACCAGGGCTCATTATGGTCCCATAGACTTATAACATTTTGTAAGTCTATTACTTTTAACTTTGAAAAATCCATTGCATTGTCTTTGTCCTTTCTCTTAGTTTCAATTCATAGGCTATGAACCTGGGCCATGTGACTACATGGCCTGGCAGACAGTTACTACTGCTTAATAATATTGAGCACCATTTGATATCCATCAAGTAATTTAATAAGAAGTGAAATCATTGTACTTTCTGATCTTCACAGAATTTAAAATCTACAGTGATTTTTATAGCCACTTGTTGGATTCTGCAGTGAGGATTCCTACCATTGGCTTGATTTATAAGCCCAGCAAAGGCCAGTACTTCAAACTAAAAGGTATCCAGACAGTTACCCTTGAGTTACAAGAACTCAAGCATCATTAGCCAAAGTTGTATTTCCTAGGTCCTAAGGGGACCACAATGGAAGCAGTAGTCGAGAAATCAAACAATGTATTGCATTGGGCAAATCAGCTGCAAGACTTCTTTAAAGTTTTAAAAAGCAAAGATGTTACTTTGATATCTAAGGTCCACTTGACCCAAGCCATGGTGTCTTCAATCGCTTCATCTGCATGCAAAAGGTGGGCAACTGAATAGGTAGACAGTAGAAGAATCAGTGCATTTGTATTGTGGTATTGGCAAAGAATACTGTGGTACCAAGAGAATGAACATATCAGTCTTAGAAGAAACACAACCACAATGCTCCTTAGAAGCAAGGCAGAGAGACTTCCGCTCATTTACTTTGTACATGTCACCAAGTAAGACCAATTAGTAGAGAAAGCCATCATGTTTGGCAAACCAGAGGGTAAGCATAAATGAGGGAAACCCTCAATATGATGGTTTGACACAATAACCTCAACTATAGACTCAAACATATCAAAGATCATGAAGATACACAGGACTGAGCAGGGTTTCTATTATACAGAAGTTCATCATGAGTCAGCACCAACAAGATAGCAACTTACAACAACAACACAAGTGGATCACAAACAAGTAGCAGAAAAGCTCCCAGAACCATTCCAATTCTCACTTTCATTCAACCCAATCAGCAAGGCCTCTCCATATGATACAGTTGCAGACATCATTTATCTGTCTACACCATGTCACAGGATGACTGGGCAGAGTGACTTGACTCTAAGTCTTGCTACATCTTGGCTGACTCAGCAGGCATTGAGTCCATAAGGTATGTTTTCTTCTGATGGGAGGCTCATATGACAGTGATACACTACAGTGTCTCTGTGCACTCACCTCCGTGTGCTTTCATCAGCAGGGTTCAATCCAAAGATGTCCAACTCTTTTTTTGGCTTCTCTGGGTGGCGACTCAGGAAGCTATCTCTATTCTTATGCAAATAGTTGACCAAATCCCCATAGAAGCAGTACTCAGTGATGATGTAAATTGGTCCTGTAGGAGCCAAAACCAGTTTGGAGATGGGAATGAAAATGAAGAACAGAAAAGCCATGAATTGCTATGTTTGGACTCATAAGCCATGTTGGTCAAAAAAATAAGCTTCTATGTGCCCAAAAGGAAAGATGAGAAGATAGGACATGGTAGATAATTTGGACAAAAGGAAGCAGGAGCCTAGAGTAGAAATGGGGAGAGTGCTGATACATTATGGAGAATGCAGCCAATGTCATGGATCATTTTATGTACTATTAAATGGGAAACTAATTTCCTCTGTAAACTTTTACCTAAGATCCTGGATAGAGTGGGAGAACAATGTGGAACAAAATTCAAAATCATTTAAAAGACCAGGTTTACTGGTCTGATAGAGCCTGGTGAGACCTCCAAGACCATGGCCCCTAGTTACCCTTCAGGTCTGGAATCGAGCTCACTCCCATGGCTTCCAGCCAAACAATAGACAGGCATATAGGGTGAACATTTACACCAGGTGATACACTCCTTAGAACAATCAATCAGGGGAGAACAGAAGGGCAGTATTTGCCTAGGGAGACAGCTTAGGGGGCAGGAATGCATAGGAAAGAAGGACACAGGGAAGAGGTAACTACAGGGAGGAAGTGGGAAGAGAGCTGTTACATTGCAGGGAATTGCAGTCAATATCATGAAACAAAATGTGTATGAACTGCTGTATGGAAAATGAATTTGCTCTGTAAACTTTCACCCACATCATTATAAAAATTTAAAAAAAAATCTTTCACCTAAAGCACAATAAAAAATTAAATTAAAAAATAATTGAGTTTCCATCAACTCAGTTGTATCCCAGCAACTCCATTCAAGGTACATGTATTCACTGGCATGTTTAGGGGAAGGGAATGGGAGTTCAAAAACCTGGTTCAAGGATGTTCACAACCAGAGGTGTTCCATGAAAATCCCTCCTCCCAGGTCAGTAAGCTTACCTGATTTGGTACAGGCTCCCAACAAGTTTACAATGTTTAAATGTGGCCCCAGGTGAGTCATTATCTTCAGCTCAGACATGAGAGCTTGTTTCTCACTGGATCTGGCTGTGGCTGTTAAAGAAAGAAATCATTTATCAGGTCAACTGAGGCACCTACTTTCTGTTTTCAGGAAACACCAATTAACATGGCTAATTCTGCTGGATACAATTTTATTTACCAAGAGACTAAAAAAGAACCAGACAGTGACTCAGTCTGGACACTAATTACTAATTCCCTCATCTTAAGGGTGGAGTCCTGGGTGGTGTCAACAGTTAACATGCTCAGCTGTTAACCAAAAGGCTGGAAGTTCAAGTCCACCCAGAGGTCCCTCGCAAGAAAGGTCTAGTGATGTACTTCTGAAAAACCAGCCATTGAAACCCTACGGAGTGCAGTTCCACTGGCTCATCATGAGTTGGAGTCAACTTGACAGCAACTGGTTTAAGTAAAAAATAAGCCACTGAATATAAAAACTCTTGACTTTCTAAGTAGCAGGCAACAAGAACAAGCTAAATTAATCTGACAAAATAGTTTAAATACACATAAAATCTAGAGTCAAAAGAACCAGGATCTAGTCCTAAATTTGGCATTTACTAATGTGTGATTTTGAGTAACTCACTTAACAGCTCCATTTTCAAAAAATCTCTAGAAAGAGGCACTTACGTTTTAGCATCTTCACTGCCACTTTCATCACGGGCTGAGACCGGCTTAATCCATAGGCCGTTCCTTCAACCACTTTCCCAAACGCACCAGATCCCAGGATACGACCTGTGGGCGAACAAAATCATTAACACAAGCAAATGTGTACCACCATCCTCAGCCTTATTTGCCTGGCCAGCACTCCTGGATGCACAGCTGGGCTGGGGTAGGTGTGTTTCCTGTATTAAGTAAGCTAATTATTCTTCTAAGTCATCATGTCAAAAACAGAATTGAGCCCACAGGGGAGGAAATTAGTGTAATTGCTTTTGTCAAATAACATTTGTAAGGGAAAGGCAAACACAGACAGGAGAAAGGGGGGTGAGCCCGTCCGTGGTGTGAGAACTCTTGTCTACCAGCTCCTGGCTCCTTTGCACTTGCTCTCCGTGGCTCTCGCCCAAGACCCCTGATCTCTACCCTCTGCTTCCCCCTTGTAAATAGAGACATCTTTTGCATCAATAAATCCTTAACTACTGGAAATAGTTCAGTATTCAGCATCACTGATTCTAAGAAGTGATTAAGTGAAAACTGTGAGCTGGCCTTCTTGCTGCCTGATTGTTTGGAAGGCCACCAGAGCAAAGGCTAGATGTGGCCAGGGAGAAGTGCATTTTGCTTCATGTTACAAGAAACAAAAAGAAATCAAAGCTGTTGTTTCTACCCTTAAAGAGCTCAGTTGTGAGGGGCATTTCCTGCTGGTCAGGGTCACTGTGTAGAGACAATCCAGGGAAAGACTCAGCTCATAAAGGACACTGATGGCATGGCAATGCCTCTTACTGCATGTTTGCACTGCTAGAAACTGTACCTAGAGAGGTGTTGCTTCACCTGCAACTCACTCATAACAGGCACAAAGGGATGTCTCATGGAATATTAAGGATTTTACCTTTTTCCCCATCATTTTATTACTTCTTAATTCCCCTAACCTTCTCACTCCTCTGTGCAAAACAGAAGGAAAAATTAATAAAGAGAAAACTTAGGGCCCTGTTGTTGTTGTT